CCTCCCTCAATTGGAAGCCAGACTGACTAGTCTTTGCCAGACACTGTTGTATACCACTACTCTCACCTTACTGATTTATTTCAACACATTTGCTGTAGCTAAATTGCTTTACTCAGATTCTCTGACACTTTCTATGTGTATTTTCATCTTTGTGCATATTATTTCTCATACTTGAAATACTCATTTTCATTCTTCATTTATCTGAATCTCACTCTTACATTTCTTTATTTCTTTAAAGGTCTGACCAAATCTTGCATTTCCTTTTCCATACAGGATAATCATCCTTCAAACTCTGGTAGATTGGCTTCCTTCCTCTATCACTCAGTTAGCTTTTTTATATTTCTTGTTTTAATATTTTGGATAGTGCCTCTTATACCATGTTGTACCCCTAGTGGAGAAAATGTATCTCAAGAAATGTTAGGTGATTGATTCTGTTTTATCTCCTTGATGATAGTGCCTCTTATATTTCTTTACATAATCAAGAAAATGTAAACTGTGTTATACACAGTGGTCTTAAGTGTTGATTGATGATTCTAAACCTCGTTCCCTGTATAAGGTTGTAAGTTCAAGATAAGAGAAACCACATCTGCAAATCATTTTATTTTTTAAAAACTTTTTTTTTTTAGATTAAAGACAATTTTTTAGAGCAGTTTTAGGTTCATGACAAAATTAAGAGGCATGTACAGAGATTTTCCATATGCCCCCACACCCATACATACATAGCCTCCTTGTTATCAGCATCCTCCACCAGAGTGGTGGATTTGTTAAAACTGATGAACCTACACTGACACATCATAATCACCCAAAGTCCATAGTGTTTATATTAGGGTTCAATTTTGGTATCGTACATTCTATGGGTTTGGATAAATGTACAATGACATGTATCTACCATTATAGTATCATGCAGAGTATTTTTCTCTGCCCTAAAAATCCTATTTGCTCTGCCTATTTATCCCTCCCACTACCCTCTGCAAATCCATTTTAAAATGAGGTAAATTAAACCTGTTTTGGGAGAGGTATTTCCTTTTTGATGTTGCTGCTTTTATCAAATAGGGTCAACAATTGTGAAAGTATTTTAGACAACACAGTTGTAAGACTTCTGATCTCCTGAGCCCAAAAAACTTAAGATTTTTGAGTTTTTAAGTGTTTTACATTTCCTCAGATACACAATCCATTTTATAGATCTAGGACTAAATCTAGGAAAATTTTCAGTGCCTGCTTGTCTTAATTTGCTTGTGCTGCTACAACAAAATACCTGAGACTGGGTAATTTATGAAGAACAGAAATTTATTACAGTTCTGGAGGATGTGGAGTCCAAGATAAGGTGTCAGCAGTTTCAGCTGTCTGGTGAGGATTTCTCTGCTTCCAAGATGGCACATTGAATGCTGCATCCTTCAGAGGGGAAGAACACTGTATCCTCAAGTGGTGGAAGGGATGGAAGGCAAAAGGGACCAAACTCCCTCTGTCAAGCTCTTTTATAGTGACATTAAGCCACCTACACACTTTCCCAAGTCCTCACCTCCCAATACTGTTGCATTGGGGATTAAGTTTCCAACACATGAATTTTGGAGGAAATGTTCAGACCATAG